TTAACACTTGAAAAACAAGTGTTGAAATACGTTTTCATTATGTTTGATTGACATAAGGGGCAAATCTGGTGCAAGACTATGCCCCATTCGGCCAGCCTATCCCTTGTATACAATCTCCCATGTGCAGCTAGCCTTAGAATAAATATCCATTTAGGAGTCTACCTAAAATTATACATATTAATCTTCTCCAGGGAACCTTTTCAAAATCACCTCTGAGCTTCTTATATATTTTCCTGATAGAGAAGTGCTCCATAGAGAGAAATTCATTTATTGTGAGCCCACCTTGGTCTAGGTACTTTCCAGCCTTGACAATCTTTTGAAGACACCACGATGCTTCCTTGCAAGTTATTTCCCAGATGGGATCACCTTTCCAATAGTAAGCATGTACCCAACAGACCCAAAGCTTATCCTTCTTTTTGCACAAGTCAATAACTTTTGTCATTAACCTTTGCTTTGGGATCAGTTATTCTTATAATAGGACATCCTGTAAAAGTATTAGCCATACAGCCATACCTTTGTACAATTTTGCATACAATATGTTAATAAACCATATGGTTGTTTTTAAGAATTTTGATTTGACGTATCAAAACATTACAAAATCCATCTATGAAGGAAGACCAACAGAGATTTCCTGTTGTTTCACATAAAGAAGTGATCACTGACTCATGCAATGCATTATTCCACCTTTCTATATTGGGGTCATGTTGTAAGTAATTTAAGTGGAGATACTTCTAGACGAGTACTATGTTTGATACGAAAAATTTGTTTATTATGATGTTCTTGTTACACGTGTGTTAACGTGACCGAATTTTGAGCATTTCATTTTGCAGACTGCTATGAGAATTGGGAGTGCTCCAAATGTTGCAGTTCAGGGACAGCCGTACGACTCATCTGCAACAGTCCTTCCTCCTCCTCGTCCTCCTGCTGCTGTACCTCCCTCTTCAGCACCTGCACTGGCTCCATCTCCTTCCCTTTCTACATCTTTCCCTTTGATGCCTACTCTTGATGCTTCCGAACCAGACGCCAGTGCTAGAAGGTCTTCAAATCTAGTGAAGCCATCATCATTCTTTGGTCCTCTTCCTTCCTCTTCTCCACTGATACCTCCTGTTTCTTCATCTGTGCCTACTGCTCCACCACTTCACCCCCCTGGGAATCTGCAACGCCCTCACAGAGCTCCTTTGCTTCAACCATTTCCTCCCCCCTCTCCTCCGCCATTTCTCACTCCAACTTCTGCTCCTAGCCCAAACAATGGACCTGTTATTAACAGAGGCAAAGTGCGTGAGGCACTTTTGATGCTTGTTCAAGTAAGTGTACCTGAATTGATAGTTACTTTCCTATGTGAACTTTTTTTATGGCACTAAAGTTTTATAAATTCGCAATCAATTGCATATGCCAGAATGTGAAAATTTTGCGTTTGCCCTCATAATGAGAACTAACATCCAAAGCAAAGAGGGTCTGCTGAGGGCGCGTATTTAGGGGAAAAAACTTCCAGCAGCTTCTGCCACTATGCTGGAACACATCCACATTATGAAGATTAATTAGGGAAATTGAGAAGAAAAAAGAAAAGAAAGAGAGAAGAATATGCTAGCAGTTGCTTTTGAGTCTTTCTGTTGGAACTGGTTTTTGGTAGCTTCTCTCCTTCCTCTAGGACCTATTTTTTTTTTATCTGAGTCACATAGTCTGGATGGATTTCCATCGGGGAACATAAAAACGTTTACACTTTTGAAATTAAGCACCTTACTTCCTCAAGGATCGAATGTGAAGCTATAAGGGATCATACCCTGGGGATTGCTAAATCACAAAAAGGTAAAAGTTTTACTCTATCTGAAGGGGCATGTCTCAAACTCCAACAATAAATGAATCGTTCTTCCCTTAAATCTCTGGATGAGATGTCTAAAAGATCCCGAAACCCTAAATTTCTTCCCCATCCATTTTGGCACCCGACGCTCTCCGCCCATGCCCAACTCCCTCTCGCTCCCCTTAATTGTCTCCAATCTGTCCTCATTTCCTCTCTTTTCCATCTTTACCTTCGCAGACCTCTCCTTCCCCTGATGAGAGTTCCACACTTAAATTTCTCTTCCTAGTGTTGTGACTGCATGAGCCACATAGGAAGAGTTCCATGCCCAGTTGTTCGTGTCCTCAAAATACTTGCTTCACTTTGGGGTTGCTGATGCTCATCATTGCCACCTTGAGTTCTGTTAGTTGAAGTTGACAGAAATCTGTCCTTTGCCTTCAAGTGCTACTGAAAGTCTTTACATCCCCTTGCTCATGTAGAATAATAGAGGGTTGTCCAATTCACTGTATAACCCTTGAATTTTGGGGCAGAAAGGGGCAGAGTTGTTGTCAGCAAAATTCTCCTCTACCCTCAGCTGCAATTTCTCTCTGACCTCAGCTTCCTTATCTGCCCCCAATAAAAATTGGTGAATTATGAGGTATTGAGCACTTTTTGGCCAATGGCATCTGCTCGATCTACATGGACTGTGATGTCTTCAGTATTATTTGATAAAAAAAGCAAAAGGAACTTCAAGAGTCATGTCGGTTATCTTAGAATTGAAGGGCTGTTTTGGAAAGGAAAATCCTATTTTTCGCATCAATGTGGCCTAGTTTTAGGACATCCAGGAAAATCCTATTTTTCGCATCAAACTGGAACAATGTGAGTAACACAAAAGCTCTAGACAGTCCCGACTACAGAGTCGGATAAAACAAAGTTTGAAGCAATATAACAGTGTAGACTATAGCTTTCTTACCACACTACATATTTCGGTAATGGTAGTTCCTTGATGTTTTTTTCTACTTTGCACCGAAACAAGAAAAACAAAAAAAAAATAAGTACCTTGTCTTATAAGTCATGCCAAGTAGTTAATTTGTTATCACCTTGTTCTTGAAAAGTCATTAGAAGTTGGCAAAAGATTATAAGTATGGCAAATAATATGACTCGAAAATACAAGTCCCGACAGTATGTTAAAAACTCTAGTAAGTATTGAGGGACTGGGTGAATAGGAACTTGCCAAGGCTATAAGGACTTCATATTTTTGCTTTCCTTTCTTGCTTTTTTTTTGGCCCAGAAAACTAGTTATGGAGTCCACAAAATTAAATATTGGGGGGAGTAAGGTAGTATCCTGAGCTCATAATTTATTAATGTAATTAGTTGATTAGCTAGAGGATTTTATGGTTACTCCTGTAATGACATTTTTCCCTATTAGGATTCATGATTTGATAATCGTATAATTCACTGGTCTCTTTATGCATCTGATGTTACCTCTATTTCCATAACAGGATGATCAATTCATTGACACGGTGTATCGCGCTATTTCCAATACTCATCATACATGATAAACAGAGGAACTGCCTCACTTGTTGAAATCCCATTAAAACAATGTTACTGGCAGAAAGATGGCTTCGAGCGTCTGACTATCGGGTTCCTTCTGTTTATAATATCTTTGAGACCCATTTTGTATAGTAGTATTAGACTATTAGTCAGTTTACTTGTTCAGATTTGTAATTTACCTTATATGCAATGTCTGGTTTTACTAGTCAGTTATGCTTGAGCTTTATGTTCATTAAATAATAAGCAATCATGCAGACTGTGTACTGGCTCTTTCAGCTTTGGTATTTGCAACAATTGTGTTGTGATAAGCCGAATGGAAAGAAATCTGGGGGTGTGATTTTATGTTTTCCAGATAGAAAGTTAACTCCTCTGAGTACTTTTTCTTTTCTTACTCGAGTGGGAGGAAAATATTGAACTTGCATTTTGGAAGTTTAAAGATAAATTGTTTTAAAATTCTCCAAAAAATATAATAATGTGGGACTAGCAATTTTTAGAGTCAGAAAGGCAAAAATCCAGTACAATGGAGAACGGACTATATCTCACAATTTTCCTGCACAATGTATTATTCTCCGAAAGAGACTGGGACGGAAGCGCGAGCTCGAACGGATGTAATTTTAACAATGAATGAAGACGTCAAATTCTTGTCTTCTTCCTAAAGAATTAGAATTTATATATTTAACATTACATAAAGAGTACTAAATATATGTATATTGTTTCAACATCAATCAAAGAGAGTTTTCGTACCAAAATCAACTCAAAATAATTAAGAAAGATAGTAGACTTGAGTTGGGATGTTGGTGATTGTGTCTATGTAAATGAGAAGGAAAGAAAGGAGAAATGCGGAAAAAAAAAAACGTCTCCAACTGAAATTCTTTATTAAGCTAAGCAAAAATTTTAACTACACCCTCTGCCAGTTATTTACGAGAATACCCGACAAGATAAGCTACTAAACAAAATGATATGAACTTGTTTAGTGATGAAAAATTATCCTGCTGATATTCTGCGTTCTCCAAAAAGATCGACATAAAACCAGCGAAACACTTGTTGGCAACTAATTAAAAGCAAGCAAAAATGAGGAAAAAGAAGCTGTTCTGCCACTTTGTATCCACAAATAATTTGCTAAGGAAACACTACGATACCACAAAGGTAAGGTCTTCTCCGGTAAATATTAACCCGCACTCGATGTTTACATCAAACATACTAATTTATCGTATCTAGGTGATAAATTAAGGTGCAAATGTATCTCAATATGTGAATACACGTCTCATGTATTCATTGGGCCGGTGCAAATATGGTACACCTTGTAGCAAGGTAGAGCGCACAATCCCCAAAATCTTTTGCCGATTTCGATCAACGTGGGGGCATCTATTAGTAAAAGGGTATAAGTGGAGAGTTTGACCGAATCAATTACAAATAAATCTCAAACTAACAAAAAAAATAAAAAGAAACCAATGTAATCCTACATGTGAGATCTGAAAACGGCAGTGTGTACCCAGACCTTGTGAAGGTAAATCTCAAACTGAGTAACATGGGATGGAAATTGGAAAATGGGTGATAAAGAAGATAGAAGCAAATATCAAAGACAAACTAGTTCTCACCAATATCCTCGTTTTGCAGTTTGAATTCGAGATGTGGCCTTTCAATACAAAATGCATACTTTCAACACGGAAGGAGCCATTTCAAAGCAAGACAATTAGCACAAGAATCTTTTTTGTCAGTGAACAAAAGATTCTCTACCAAAGCAAATTCGTCTGAACCTTTTCAGAACATAAATACATTCTGACAAAATTGATACATCAGCAAGATTAAATTTTAGAACTGCTAATTCTATGAGAAAAGCCGCCTGTGAGAATACATCCTCATCTCAGCAGAAAAAAAATGACTGCGTTACCCTATTGATTTGTCAAAGCAAAAGTGGATCTTTTCCATAGCTAAAAGTTTAAAATATGATCGTTGGACCACCGAATAGGAAGCAACTAGGTCACGACAATCTTCCTTAAGGTTACAAAAAAGAAACACCTGCTTCTTGATTTGCAAGCGCTTGATGCAGAGAAGTCCTGCTTCAGGAATTAAGCAGCTTTTACTTTCCGTGATGGGGGACGACGGAATAGACTAATAAGATCGTCAAGACCCTGTTTAGCAATAACATCAGATTGGTTAGATGAGTTTATATTCAGTTTTCTTTTCTTTATATTTACATATTTTAATTGGTAAAATAATCAAGGAAGTTTTGTCTCCGTTATAAAATGGTTGTGTTCGGAACAGCACAAAATTTGTAACCAAGATAAGGGAATCAGGATAAAGTAAAACCAGAAGACGTACCCTGGTGGTGATAAAAAGAAAACTGAAAAGTGTAATCAAGTATGATCCTAGTACCAACAGCAAAAGCAAGTCAAATGTCACGCTGGCAACCTGCAATGAGAACAATTTAATCAGTTATTTGTACAGGTAAATAACTGAAGAAATGTAGATTTAACTGCAGACGATCAACAAGCAGACACAATTGACTATATAGATATGGGTGTTAAACAAAAAGTACGGACCAGTAAGGCATAAAATAAGCAATCAGCGAAATAGGAAAACTTTGAGTTAAAACAATAGGTCCTAAATGTTAAAACCACAGTGGTCAGAGATAATTCCTTTTTTTTTTCCTTGATGAAAATAAGTGGTTGGAGATGCTCATATTCATCACAACATGAGACATGGAATACTGGTGCAAGAGGGCTGTGCAACTATGACACACTATGCCCATATAATAACTCTTTGAAGTGTGAAAAAATAGAGTGAACTATATGCAAACATGTATACTACTGTAACAACTGGTCCCTCGAAAAGCAAACCTCACAATTATTCCTGAGTCTCCCTTACCTTTCTGCATCCCACAAGCTGAAGAGTACTCATTTGCTTCTAATGGGGTAGGTCAGAATTAGTAACTTGTTGGTAACAGTGGGGGCACTCCGAGAAAATTAAACAAAAATATTTTTGTTCATTTTACTTAAGTAGATATTTGCATTTTGAAGTTTTACAGAATTATACAAGTATTAGCCAGGGGCACGGCTAAAAGAAAGGGTGGATATATATATATATATATATATATATATATATATATATGCATTTTGAAGTTTTACAGAATTATACAAGTATTAGCCAGGGGCACGGCTAAAAGAAAGGGTGGATATATATATATATATATATATATATATATATATATATG